ACACTGCATACACTGCATTCTGCACTAAACTCTGTACTGATAAACTGCTCACGGCATTCTCATACTGCACTTATACACTGTATTCTGCACTGATAAACTGTCTACAAATGGATGCATGCAATATGTACAATGCGATATCTACAAATATGCAATGGAGTGGATATGGATACAATGGATATGGCACGCAAGCCAAACCAAATCTTGCCTAGGAAAGGCATGTACACGTACGAGCCATGTGTAACACAGAAAAGGTGCCGCAACCCTCAACCAACATACCAGCGTGGAATCGGCGCGATACACATGCAGAACTGTGTTTTAACATGAAAAGTAAGGGCACATACCGGACCAAGCTCAACCTGGAAGGGCGCAGGCCATAGGCGGAAGGCGATGCAATGAATGCATGCAATCTACAATGCAAAATGACTTTTTGCGTCACTTCTTTTGCTACGGTCAAACAAGCGGTCACAAAAAAAGAAAAAAAAGAAAAAGAAAATATCAGCAACAGCCATAACTTATAAGGGATGCAAATAACACGGCTTTCTTTAATTAATTTTCCCCAATTTCAATTTCATAACTTTCTCTCTCTCTATGATGGAAGCTCTCAATGTGCCTTAGCTCTCTCTCGCACTCACCCATGGTCGTCACAGGTATGGCTCCCTCTCTCTCTCTCTCTCCCCTTCAATTTCTCAATCTCTCTTCTCTCTTCTCTCTCTCTCTCTTAAATTGTTTCTGAATTCAGAAACTTGTAATGTACCTGTCAATTTGTTGAATTTTCAGGTGATTTCATTGCAAATTAGGTGATTTCATCGGTGTCTTGTGAGAATACAAGTAATTTTTCAATCCTCAACCTCCTCTATCACCTCTGCTTCTCTCTCTATCTGACTTAGGAAATCTAGGTTTTCAATTATTTGCAATTCTTTCTTTTCTCATCTGAAATGTTTCTATCTATTTTCAATTCTTCTCACATATACATGCATATTTATATACACACATCTGAATTCGATTATTTTTTGTTCTGCGATTCATAGCCAATTTCGCAAATTTCATAGAATTTAGGAGAGATACTGTGAGAGAGCAAAAGTTAGGGTTTGATTCATTTACTTTTTATTCTCCTCTCTCTCTCTCTCTATGGCTTTGTTACTCACAATTACATAGAGTTTTTAAAAAGAATTTATGACGCTATTCAAACAAAAAATTTCTATAGCCTAAATTTTGTATAGACTTGTTTTATTTTAATATTTTGTCTGATGAAGGTGCATTGGAATTTTAATTGAATTTTTTTGTAGTATAGCTAGTGTTTTGTTTATTTATTTGAATTTTTTACAGCTTAAAAAAATTAGTTTCATATTAAAGTTAACATGTGAAGCACAATAATAATTTTCCCCACATTTACATTCTGAAAATTCACATAATAGCAGTAAGAATGATAGCATCTAGCTATTTCGATTTGTATTTTCAGTTTAAATGTATTTTGTAGCTCCGTAAACCCTGGTGTTTAAGCCCTTTTTTGGTAATTGTTCGACTTAGCCCCTGTTGTTTTTGGTAATTGTTCGACTTTGTTCCTATCTATTAGTTCATTTGTCTTCATGTTGAATCAAAATTACCGCTTCTCTAAACCTGATTTGCTGGGTATATTATTTTTAATAAAAAGTGATACTGTCATAAAACTAATCGAGTAACCTATCACAGTATAAATTACACACGTATTTGTACATGTAATTAGATTTTTTATCAAGCATTTGAATAAAATTTGTTTACAAATGGTTATGTGATTATGTCAAGAACCAAGGGCTTGATCAAATAAATTGAGCAACATATTCTTTTGTTGATGATAATCCTCTCAAATTCTATATTAGGCGTATCAATGGCATCACTGACGGAACTTTCTTTCCACTGGACTGGTTTCATTAGTGCGATGATTTCAAATATTGCATTCACTTACAGGAGTATCTATTCAAAGAAGCAATGGTAATGTCTTTCACATGTAATTATTCTTAGTATTCTAAATTGTGGTTTTAATTTTATGGAATGGAAGAGTGTGGAAGAACACAATTAAGGTCCCCTGCTTGACCTTTAATGGCTGCTTTTTTGTTTTATTCTTATATCACGATCCCATGAGCCTTACTTTTTCCAAATTGTTATTGTTGAAAAAATTTCATTTAGTGTGATCTGTAGTTGCTTAACTTGTGGGCACTTGCTGCCATCTCAGGTTAAACAGGACAGAAACCACATTGTAATGATGAAGCACTTTCATGGTCTTTGGTGAATTCTGTTCAGTTGTGTCCCAAATCACACGGCTTAAGGGTACTCTTATCGATCACCAATTCCTTCTACTATAGTGGTATACTATTTCTTTAATTAATTTCTGGTGAGATAGTTTTTATCGTTCTGCTTGGTATTTTTATGCATTATTTGTTTGTTGTTTATTGTACATTTACTTTTTTGACAACAAAATTTGTTGTGGTTGTGGCTCTGCAGACTTGGTTTCTGCATATTTCCAATAATGCTCTCTTGTAAATTTCTGAAAGAATTTTCCATTATCATTAATTATTGATTTTGAGAATATATATATCGTTTTGTGAAGCATAAAATTAATTAATAAAAGTTCCCATCAATGAGCTGGATTCGGCAAGCTGTTGACGATGGTGAGTAGAATCATTTGCTATCATCTTGTAAATGAAGGCTATACGACACAATACGGACACATTGATATGATAACTTCTAAAAAAAAGAAAAAAAAAGGATATGGATATGTTATACATACATATATATATATATATATATATCAAATATATATGCTGAGGAACAAAAGGAACTTCATATACCCCTTTTACACTCAATCCAGAAACAAGATCTGATGCTATTCTGCTTTGTGTCCATTTTTGTGATACTATTTTTCAAGCAAGTCGGCTGATGAATCATTGGCGGGTCTGGCATCTGAACAAATACATTTCATTGCTATGGGAACCTTTACTATTATAGGAGAGGTGTTCATTTGATACTGATTATTATCGGGGAGTCTAGCAAATTCCTGTGGATGTCTATTTTCTTTGCTGCTCACCTAACCAAGAGGAAGTTATAGATGCTATAACAAACTTCATAAAAAGGTGTCTTGAAAAAATTGATTATTTCATTACATATTTGTAACAAATTACCTGTCATTAATTTTGTATCAGATATTTTCAACTTTGAACTTTTATTATTTATTTATTCACATAAAAAAGTTATGTTATGTGGACATGAATGAACTTCAACTAAATTTGACCTGCTTTTAATCTATTGTTTCTCATTTTTTCTTCTGAGGAGATGAAAAGCATTAGAAACTATTCTTGCATTTATTCTTACAATTTTACTCTATGTAGTCTATTACTAAACCATCCCTCCCTTCCTCACTCTATGTAGTCTATCAGACCATGGTAAAAAAGCCTTTGTAATTATTATTGATCTAACATTATTGATCATCTGTACTGTTCATCTGTTAACATTATTGATCATCTGTACTGTTCATCTGTTAACATTATTGATCTAACAACTATAAGCAGTGATCTGCATTCTAGAAAAATATTCATGTTAAACATTAGGTTGGGCATTACATTTTATCTCTCATCTGTTTTTCATTTTGTGAAATCTTTGTGTGCAATTAATTGATTCTGTTAATTTGTTAAATATTGATGTTGGCCACTGCCATAAGCGTCCTTGTTACAATATCTATAAGGGAACACATTGTTTCCATACACCATAACAGATCACCAATATATATTTCACTAATGTTTCTAAATACTTTTTAGTGTTCTACAGAAATGTAAAAACTGATTTTTATGATTCTGTTTTCCTCACAATATTTCTGAAATATGCACTAATGCAGGGGATCACTACCTAAAACCATTTGTAATACCGAAACTAGAAGTCAGAGTGAGCAGAAGAACTAGTGCAGATGAACCTCTATTTTTCTAGAAATAGAGATTTGGATGTTAGCATGGTTCTATATTGAGAAATGCTATATCTCAACTGATAGTTATATGAGAATAAATTATACATATTTAAACCATGGGTTCTTATTTAGATATCAACACTACACAGCTCTCCAAATAATCATAGTGCACCTGATAGCTTATAATCATTGAATTATTTATTTGAAGGTGAAAATTGCTTGCCCGGTTCTCAAATAGGTACAAGTCATCCAAAGAACAAGAGAGGAACAGAGCCATTATTTCATCTTACTGGCGCACATTTTTATCGAGCCTAAGTACTACTTATCATTGGTTGATGCTGGAGCCTCAGAAGGTATACAACGCCATGACTTTTTGAAAAGAAAAGAAAAAAATGCTATAGTTTTGTATTTAGCACCATGATCTTCACTACAAAAATGCTATAGTTTTTGAATTTATTTTCTGTCATGTTTAGTTTGCAAGTGTTGTGTTGTAATGAAAAACTATTGACAATTCATTGTGCCTATTTAATTTTTCCAGAATCATGAATATAACTATGAGTCTGTGACTATATGTAAATCATAACAAGAAGGAATGACAAAGATTAAAAAGAGATGCAGACGCATAGGGTTAAGGCTTAACTTGTTGGGTTATGTTGTTCTAGAAGAACCTGTAGTACCCAAGATGAAGGTGCTTCAAAATAAAGGCATAAAAAAACATAATAGTGATTCCTCTAATCTTTTTCAGCAGAGATGTTTGTCTGTGAACTTCTAATGGGTTACACAATATCTTTGAAATTTTTGTACTCTTTACTGCTTATAGTGATATTGCAATTCTGTCTTTTGGAAGTGAGGGTCAAATAACAGGTGTCCTAGTGTAGATATTTTCAGTTCTAAATGCAGTCTGTGGCTTTTACTGGTGCTCACCTGTTTATTTGGATTTGGATCGATTTATCTGAGAGTCCATTGTTGTTCTATGTTTTTGATTTCAGCATTGGATGCGTTGTTTTGTATACTCTTTCTCTCATTTTTCTGACGTTCACCATTGCTGCAATGTATATCTCTCTCTCTCTCTCTCTCTCTCTCTCTCTCTCTCTCTCTGTGTGTGTGTGTCACACACACACACACAATACCTACGAGTTTAAATTGAATATTTGGATTTGGATCGATTTATCTGAGAGTCCATTGTTGTTCTATGTTTTTGATTTCAGCATTGGATGCGTAGTTTTGTATACTGGACAAGGGAAGTTCCATACTAGCACATCGAATACATTGGACTATGTCGTGTGGCAAGCTAACACCATTGTTGAGAGTCTTGGGAGTGTATTGGATTATCTTGAAGCGGCTAAGCATATCAGAGTGGATCAACTTTTTTTACCTCCTGATGTTCAAAACAACATCAACAAGGTTGAAACTGACATTAATACTGCTGCTCCATGGTTGGTGTAACCAAATTGCTTTTATAGTTCCATGGTTGCATACCTTGCTCTTAGTTTATCATTCTCTTCTGAATTCTCATAGTAGGACTTTTGCATATGATCTAGTGATAGTTCTTGCAACACCTTTGTTTTATAGCATAGTTGTGAAGATTTTGCTCTTCCATTCTTCATATATTTTATTGGTCCTCACAATCTTAATCATTCTAGTCAGCCAAATAGTACCATCATTATTTGCCCTCTCAACCTTACTCATTGGCTTTGAGCTGTGGGCCTTTCTTCTTGGAATGTTATATGACACGTTTTCAATCATAGCCATGCTTCTTGAATTTCTAACATGATTATTGCTTGCCAAACTGACATAAACACCTCTCCTCTCCTTTCAACACCTGTCAATCACGTTCTAGCAAACATTTCACACTTGCATGTATGTCATCAAATATTTCTGATGGAGTTTCTAAATAAATGCTTATGCTTTCTCTCATTGAAGTACTACTGAAACCCTTTGCTGATTCCGTGATAAGCTCTAAAACTGATCCAAATCTTTGCTTTGCAACGCATGCCCATTCCAGCATCTCATTTTCTGGTCTTAGCATGGAGAGTAGTGCTGCAAATCATCAAGACTGGTGCTTCTCCAATGGTTCTCATGGGAGAGCCGCCTCCATTGTGTCCTGAAAGTTCATTCCCTTCAACTAGTAGGAGCAGCGCTGTTATGCGTTACATGGAAAAGAAGACACGCAAGTAAGAGTAGAGCGGTTTTTTTTTTTTTTTACACCATTTAGGTTAAAAAAAAGAAAAGAATATTGTGTGGACCTAGGAAGCATGGATGTGTATTTAATTCACTTTCAATTCTTTTTGATTGTTTAGTTCTTTGGTTTATAAAAAAAGAAAAGAATATTGTGTGGACCTAGGAAGCATGGATGTGTATTTAATTCACTTTTAATTCTTTTTAATTGTTTAGATCTTTGGTTTAATGGAAATTATATTTTGAGGTTTGTGATAGTTTCAAGGAAAGTGTAGAAGAAGTGTTAATGCATGAATGTTGAGATTTTATTAAAGAAAGAAATGAAAAATAATGCATGAATGTTGAGATTTTTGCAAATATGTCTTTACGTTTATTGTATATAATATTTGAATATATATATATATATATATCTATATATATATACGATTGTAGTTTTTTTTTTTGTTTTTTTTTTTGCGACGGTAAGAAGATGGTCGCTAATACATTGTAGGAATTTTTTAAACTCTTTTGCGACGGCAAAATATTAGTCGCTATAAGTAGGTTAGGTGGTCGCAAATAGTTTGCGACTGTTGTTTTGCGGTCGCAAAAAGTATTTGCCACCCCCACATTCGCGACCCTCATTTGCCGTCGCATAGGCCATCACAAAAAGTCTTTTGCGACAGTTTTTTTATTATTTGCGACGGCTTGTAACGGTCGCAAAAAGTACTTTTTTTAGTAGTGAATGATTGTGGTGTCTTTTTTGAAGTATATTATGGTCTTATTTTTATGATCCAAATCATTAATTTTGTAGGGTTTGTTAAGTACTTTATGCCTATCAAAAATCATATTAATCGGATAACAACAATTATATGATTGATAACCAAAAAAATAAATAATAAGTTTTTCTTTTGAAAAATAACATAAACAATATACAATTCGATCATATAGGTATTGATATCCGATTAATATGATTTTTGGTAGGCATTAAATACTCAACAAACTCTAAAAAATTAGCCGTTTAGATTATAAAAATAAGACCATAATACACCTCAAACGGAGACACCACAACCACTACTTTGCTTTTCCTATGATAGAGAGTCTTTTCTTTTCTGATGTTTTCTTTCTCTTCTTTTAATGACTAAGAATTAATAATTTAACTAGTATCTACGTGGGATTCTTAACCCATATTATGTGATGAGAGTTAATTATTTGACATTTAGTATTAAAGAGATATATCTCTTGTCCCTTGCGTGAAATTCATGTCCTTTATTATGTGGAAGCAATGAATTACTTGACTTTATTCATGTGACAGGAAGGCCCAATTTTTTTTTTCTCTCCTTGTACTTCATGGAATGGGATGAGTAAGAGTTAAGCATTTGACAATTGGCCATGTCTGGTTTAGTTTTGTAAATAATTCTTTTGAATTTTTTTTTTCATTTTAAAAAGTAGAAATTAATTTAATAAAAATAAATATAAATGTATATTTTTAACATTTTTAAAATTAATTCTACCTTACAAAAAGTTAAAATTATATAGTGTTTTTGATTTTTTTTTTTTACAAAACTAATTTTTATTTTTTTTTTGAAAAAAAATCATGAAGAAACAAATATTTGAAAATCAAACCAAACAGAACCATGGGATTCTTGTCCAATATTAAGAGTTAAGCATTTGACAATTAGCCATGTTCGGTTTAATTTTGTGAAACAATTTTTTGAATTTTTTTTTTAAAAAAAAAATAGAAATAGTTTGATAAAAATAAACATAAAAAATATATTTTTAAAAGGAGGATTTATTAGGAAATAATTTTTTTAATTATATTTGTATTCCAATTATCCATAACATATTCTTGTATTCCAATAAGTCCTATTATTTGGATATTTGATTCACCAAATCTTAATTTTCATGTTTAAAATATTTTATGAACAACTTTACCCTAACAAATATTTTTTGAATGTTTATATTTTTTGAACATTTATCAATTTACCCTAAGTGAAACATAAATAGCTGCAGAAAGATTTATGAATAAATATTCATTTTTAAAATTTTAAAAATTAATTCTACCCTACAAAAATATTAAATTATATAAAAATGAGATATACTTTTAAATTTTTTATTTTTTTTTCACAAAACTAATTTTTAATTTTTTTTAAAAAAAAATTAAGAAATAAATATTTAAAAATCAAACCAAACATTACCCATGTGCCTCACATGGATTCATGTCCAATATTGTGTGGTAACAAAGGGACACTTTGGCTTTAATTATGTAATAGGATCCCCCTTTTTCTTTTTTCCTTTACTTCTTTTGATGATTTACACATGGGATTCTTGTCCAGTATTGTGTGGTAAAAAAGGGACACTTTGGCTTTAATTATGTGATAGGAGCCCCCTTTTTCTTTTTTTCTTTACTTCTTTTGATGATTATGAGTTAATAGTAATATTACAAATTCAAACTTAACTATTCAAAAATTATTTAAAATTGTCATCTTATAGTTTAAATTTATTCTACATATGGACTGCACACTACACAAATTCAATTTCATCCACAAAACACTTATTCAGGATAAATTCGGGACACTTAAGGTGAGGTTAACAAGAATATGAAATCAACTTCCTTGATTTACTGATACAACTATTATAGATATTTATACACTAATACAGTTCCAACCAATTAACAAACTAACTAACTACGTAACTAATTGAATCTAACTTGAGTTACTAGAACTAGGTGTGGTTAGGTGTAGTAGGTGTGGTGTAGCAGTAGCAGTATGCTTTTCAGTCCCCCTTAAGTTGATGGGGCATGGAAGCACCAACAACTTGTCTTTAAGATAGTGAAATCGAGCTGAAGAAATGGGCTTAGTAAATATATCTGCTACTTGATTAGCTGTAGGAACATAACAGAGGGCAATTTGTTGAGACACAACACGCTCACGAATGAAATGACAGCCAATTTCGATGTGCTTGGAGCGAGAGTGGAAAACAAGGTTGGAAGCAAGAGCCATAGTTGAAACATTATTGCACCAAAGAATTGGAAAAGCAAAGCAAGGAATAAAGAGATCTTTGAGCAACTATTGAATCCAACATAGTTCAGCAGTAGTATAAGCCAAGGATCTGTATTCTGCCTCAGTGGAGGATCGAGAGACAGTAGCATGTTTCTTAGCAGACCAAGAGATTAGATTAGGCCCAAGATAAACACAAAACCTTGAGGTAGACCTCCTATCCACATAATCGCCTGTCCAGTTGGAGTCTGAATAGGCATGGTGAACAAATGGACCTGAGCTAAACTGAAGCCCATGAGTAAGGGTGCTTTTAACATAGCGGAGAAGCCTTTTAAGGAAAGAAAAATTACCAAATGTAGGGGCATGCATATGTTGACAAGCCTGGTTGACAGCCAAGGTAATGTCAAGCCTGGTGATGGTTAAATATTGAAGAGCACCAACTAGGCTTCTATACAGAGAAGGCTGAGAATAAGGTTTGTCATTTGCAACAGAAAGGGTAGGTTTGAGAGCCATAGGAGTAGATCATGGCTTGTAGTCAACCATGCCAGCTTTGAGCAAAAGATTAGAAGCATACTTCTGCTGAGATAGAAAATAACCCTAAGAAGAAGCATGAATTGAGATACCCAATAAATAAGAGATATCTCCTAATTCTTCCATAGAGAATGCTTGATGCATTTGATGAACAAGGTCATGAAGAACAAGAGAATCACTCCCAGTAAGCAACATATCATCTACATAAATCAGGAGGATATTAATGGAGGTGGATGTGTTTCTGACAAACAAAGAAGAATCAGCATGACTGAGAACAAACCCTTGAGAGAGCAAGAAGGAAGAAAAGGTAGAATTCCAAGCTCGGGGAGCTTGTTTCAAACCATAAAGGGTTTTCTTCAATTTGCATACATGTGTAGGAAGAGTAAAATCAATGAATCCTTGAGGTTGATCCATATAAACTTCTTTTTCCAAGCGCCCATGGAGAAATGCATTGGAGATGTCTAATTGTTTAAGAGGCTAGTTATTCTGAAGAACCAAACAAAGCAAAATTCAGATTGTAGGTTGTTTAGCTACTGGACTAAAGGTCTCTTGGTAATCTATGCCCTCTTGTTGAAGATAACCCTTAGCTACCAACGTGGCCTTGTAATGAGCAATAGAGCCATCAGAGTTCTTAATGCGAAAAACCCATTTGCAACCAATGAAGGATTCAGGGTTTGGTAAAGCAACCAAATTTCAAGTACCTTGTGTGTGCAAAGCTTGAAATTCTTCATTCATGGCCTGAACCCAAATGGGAGACTTTAAAGCCTGTGCAGTAGTCAATGGCTCTATATGAGACAGATCAGGAAGAGGAGGCTGAGAAGCAGTCGAAGAGAAGTGAGCAGCCTTAGATCGAATGAAAATTCTGAAGAGAAGTATTAGGAACAGATGGAGGAGCTAAAGGCTAATCAATAGAAATTGAGTAAATAGGGATGGAAACTTTAGGAAGAGGAAGGGCATGCTTCAAACTACAAGAGGTAGGTAGAGGAGAAGAAGCATGAGGAACAGAACTAGGGGCAGATGAAGGAATAATAGGTAAAATAGGATCAAGAACAGAATTAGGGGCAGAGGAAGGAATATGAGCAAAATAGGATTAGAAGAAGCAAAATTTGTCCAAAAGAAAGAAGATAGATCAGATAAAGAAGAAGGTGGTGATTTAGAAAAATGAGCAAAAGGGAAGCAAGACTCAATAAACAAAACATGCCTGGACACATGAATTTTTCTTGTCAATGGATCTAAGCATCTGTAACCTTTAGTAGTAGAATGGTAACCAATAAATACACTATGAGTGGATCGAGGTTGGAGTTTGTGAGAGACATAGGGTCGAAGCCAAGGAAAACATTGACAACCAAACACCGTAAGGAAAGAATAATCTGGCACAGTTTGAAACAAAAGCTCAAAAGGTGACTTATGACCAAGAGATAGACTAGGCAGTTTATTAATAAGAAAGACAACAGTAACAATAGCCTCAAACCAAAAATAAATTGGCATGGAAGACTGTGATAACAAGGCAATGATAGTCTCAGTAATATGTTTATGTTTTCTCTCAGCCATGCGAATTTGTTTAGGAGTATAAGGACAACTAAGTTGATGAATGACACCATGTTGAGTCAAATAAGCCCATTTGTTTGTTAACAAACTCAGTACCATTATCAGTCCTTAAGATTTGAAGATGAGTAGCAAAGTGATTTTCAACAAAAGCTTTAAAAGAAAAAAATGTGGAGAAAAGTTCACTTTTGACATGCAAAGGGTAAATCAAAGTAAATCTAGTAAAGTCATCCACAAATAAGAGATGGTACTTAAAACCAGAAGTAGAAGCATGAAAGGGGCTTCATACAGCACTATGAACAAGAGAAAAGGGCCTATTAACCATAGTAGTAGAAAGCTTAAAAGGTACTCTGTGGATCTTAGCAACATTACAAGGAGTGCATGAAAATTCAGCACTATTATTTTTTAAAGCAACAGGTAAATGTTTGACAATATGCTGCATTTTTAGGGAAGAAGGATGGCCAAGTGGGCATAGAGACTTGAGAAGGAGAGTGAGCAATGCAGGCTTGAGAATTAGGAGATGAAGAAGATGATGCAAACTGGTAAAGACCATGATGACTAGAGCCTTTATGCAGAACCTGGTTCGAAATTTTGTCCCGAATGACAAAAGAGTTAGCATCAAATGTAACTGAACAATTATTGTCCTTAGTAAGCTTATGAACAGATAAAAGATTGGAAGAAATATGAGGAACATGGAGCATATCATTGAGATGAAGAAAACACTTATGTAATAACACCGATTTGTAATTAAGTACTAATTCGTAATTCAGGATGTTAATTAAGTGATTAAGATAAATTATGTGTTTATTGTGTATTTTGCATGCTATTTGACTATTTCTATTAATCGTGGTAATACCTATTGTAAAATCTAGTTTGATATGAAAATTGAAAGCCATATTGGCCTTCGAAACTGAAATTGGTAACATCAATATGTTATTTGGCATTTTTAGAATCATATGGCAAATTTTATTAAAAATTTGATTAGCTTGATTAATTAAGTTGTGGTTGGCAAACCTAATGTTCTAATTAATGTATATTAGCATTACAACTATATAAGTGGGCTCTTAGGCTCATTCTTGAGCTCAAGCATGTTTCATTTGAGTGGAAAATTCTGAAGTCATATTCTAGAGAGAGGGTGAACTCCATCTTAGAGAGAGAAAGTGTAGAGATTCAAGAAAAAGTTGGAGATTTTGCTAGAGTAGCTCAAGTTTGTGCTAGAACAAGAGTATTTGAAGGCTTTTGGTGAGCATCTAACCCTTAATTCTTGGAGAGTATATGATTTAGAGTTGAATTCATGAACTATATGAGATTAATTGCATGTTTTTAGTTAAAGAATGCCAAGAAGAGGAAGTAGCTAACATGCATGTACAGTTTTGGCATGATTCTTTAGTTTTGATCATGAATATGTTGTTTAAATTGAGTTTTGAAGCTACATTTCACATGCATTCTTGAATTGAGTTATTTGGAAGTTAACCTCCACGATTTGTAAGCTTTGAAAAATAATTTGAAGTTGAATGTTTCATACATGGTCATTGGAGTTAGAATTCTACCATCCATGATTATAATTATAAATTTCTTGGAACTTGTATGTTTGAATTATCATGTTCTAAAGTTTAATTTCATGTTTTGGAAATGAAATTTGGACATCCATGAAACTATTGAGTTTAAAATTGCTAATGACATGAGTTTCGAAAAAGTTTTGTAAAACTTGCATGCATGGGAGTTTTGAGCCAAATTTTGGTTAAATCCATGAGTTTTAAGCAAAAAGAGTTTGTGAAAATCATATGTTCAAGTTTTTGGGTAAGTTTTCCAAGTTTATGAATAAGCCATGCATGAGTTTGCCTTTGAAATTGCATTTGGAAGCTCAAAACTCTGTTTTGAAAACTTAAGATTTTTGCAGATCGCTCGAGCGAAGGATTTTCCGCTCGAACTGACATTTTAAACATCTAGTAGTTTTGCAGTCTATTACAGACCGCTCGAGTGACTACTTGGTGGCTGAAGCGAACCCTTTATATTTAGTTGAACTGCTTGAGCGCAGGAGTTGTGGCTCGAGCGTAGTTTGAGACCATCCAGGACTTTTGCAGGCAGAGCAGTCCACTCGAGCCACCAAAGGTGGGCTCGAGCGGCCAGACCAAATTCAGCATATTTTTCAAAGATATTCAGTGTTCATATTTCTGTTCCTATCCTTTTTTGAGCATATTTAGACATGAATTATGTGTCATTTAAGAGTAATGAGAAATAACATGAGTAATTGAATTAGAAAATATGAGACCAATTCAAAATCTGAGAATATGATTCACGTGTACAAATTATGAGAAATGGACTGAATAAGAAAACAATGTAAAGAAAGCTAAGTCATGATGGCTAAGTATATGTGTAATGATAAGATATGTTTGTGTTATGTACTTTGTGGTTGTAGGTCAAGACTAGAAGATTGATTGATCGTTTACGGGAGCCTACAGTAACGTTATTGTAAAGATATGTTCCTATGAATTATGTTCCAAATGTAATTCGATAAGTTATGATTTCTGAAATAATATTTGTTTATGTGAACAAATATCCTATGTTTGAAAAGTATTATGGCATCCATAGATAGTCTCAAGTCATGAGGGACGACATGTTAATGGGGGTCCATGACATATATGTGATTACGAGATCTCGTTAGCCACTTGTCAAGTAGTGATGTGTTTAATCGGTATCCAGAATCAATTACTCTAGTCGGAAGACGATATGTGATGTGTTATATGGAATGTACAGTTATTATGTTCAGATATGAAAATGATTATGTTCTGATCTGTTTTATGATTATGAAATGTTTGGAATTCATTCACTAACCCCTTTACCTTAATGTTATTTACTGGGCTTTAGCTCACTGTGTGTATATATATATATGTATAGGTGAGCATTCTGGAGATCAGGCCAGAAGATTTTTGTCTGGATCTATGTTCTGTTGTCAGCCAACTATTGTGCCTCACGTGGAGGTTCCGGAAGTGTCACGTGTCATAAGTTCTGGTTGTTTCCATATGTGAGACTTGTTTGGCTTTTGGTTTGGCTGTACTTAAGATGCTATAATGTGTGTGGGTATAATGCAAGAATGGCTTTTGGATATGTATATAAAGTTTTAAATATTCTGTTTCACATAAGTCAACACAGCTCATTGGACAATTATATTTATGTATTTGCTTTCGCTAGACCCCTTATTTTGTTCATCTATTTTAGAGGCCTTTGGTAATCTTAGGATTACTGGCCGGTTACGATGCTAAACCTATAGGGGCGAGTTTGGTAAATGACAACTAAGGTGTAGGCAAAAGACCCTTACCAATATAATGAATAGGTAAGATCTACCCATTGCCCACTGTAACCTGATCTGTGCCTTGATAAGAATGGTGCAACTGAAGGTTGCTTAAGTCATTTGTGATATGATTTGTAGCAGTTGA